TGCTGATGGGGTAGCCGCCTCACCCTACACGCAAGCCACCAATCTGCCACTGGGTTGCGTGCCACTGGCGTTTACCGCTGGTAATGCTACCGTTTCGGCAAGGTGGACCACTAGAGGCCCACCGGTGGGCTGCCACCAGGTGACCGCTGTCGTTGCTATCATCGGCCCACCAGCGGGCCACTAGCGGCTTGCGTGTAGGGAGGAGTTTCCCTATGGTTGAGTTCACCGACTGTCAGCCCAGAAAAAGTTTATCTCGATGTAAAGCTTGAATAAATCCATTGATAAGATGCATTCTTGCTGTATGCTGCCTTTTTGTCTTTGTGGACTTAATTCATTTTACTTTTTGTACGCAGGCTGCTTGTTATGGCTTATTCTAACATCCTTCCGAAATAAATCAAGTTTTTCCCATCAGTTCAAATAGATAGTGAATTAACTTATGATTGGTTTAAAATTTTATTATTATGTTTTTTAATATTTTATTCAATATTATCTGTACAGCTATAGCTTAGTTTTAGTGTATTTCTGTTAAAAAATTTACTGAGTGGATTATTTCTGAGGAAGTATTTATCAATTAAATGGAGGAACTTCTGCACTAGTTTAATACTAACCATTTGGTTAAATGGGAGTGTGTACCAAATGATTTTCTTGTTTCTATTCTTATTCCTACGATCGCTGTTGTTATGTTTTATATATTTGATATCAGTGCACTTATAGCCACTATTTTAAATGCAGTGTTGTAAACTTTATTATGCTTGTAAAAGATATCTTCACTAGAAGAGTTATTGCTAATCCTATATTCTATAGAAGAGGGTATGTGTTTGATTACGGATAGAAGGTGGTTAGAATTCGGGTGGATGTAATTTGTTTTCATGAAGGGTTGGAATATATTATTAACTGGGTCTAATCTAATATCAAGGAAATCTACTTTTTAAAATTAGTATTGATCGTAACTTTTGCCAGCTTTAATTTTTGTGGAATTTTTCGCTCACATAAGGCCATCATGTCTATATAACCCAATATTATCAATGTTAATATCATCAAAGGTACTAAGATTATATAACATAAATAAATCAACAAGGTCGAAAGACTCAGCAGAATCTAACAATCCCATGGAAATATCAAATTGATCAACAGAATTGTTCTTAATCCACTGTTCTTTGTTATGGATGAGAACAGATCTTCTGCAGTTCATAATAATCTCAAGATCTTTGTTGGAAATGTCTGAATACGCCCTGGCAAACTCCAAAGCCAAAGTAAAAAAGATCCCTGGAAACAGATGGGTAAAATCCAAGATATCAAATTGGATAAATGAACAATTTCTTTTATCGCTTATACCATTGAACCAATTTATGACATCCGGGGTATTAATCCACAGTAAAAGTCCAAAGCGCCTTCTCATCGGTTGATTGACTCTATCAAGGGTGAGATTGCTAATCCTTCCAATTCCAGGCTTGGTAGGTTGATAATGAAGATGAACCACAAAATCAGGTTCATGATTCTTGATCAGGACATCGGATTCTTTAATGCAGAGTTTGTTAACTCTGTTGCTGATTTTTATCTTGTCAGTTATAGTTTTACTCGTTACATTAATTTTGTCAATTGAATTAACGATGTTATTAACTACTTTTCTATAATTTTTAGTTTAGTTTTTTTTTAAATTAAAATATTATAATCCTTAGGAGTAAATTTGTAGAAGTTGGCTGTTTTGTCGGATTTGACAAAAACCTTGTCGGACGAATGAATGTCTTTTACAACACAGTTCAGATGCCACTGAAAATGATTTTTATATTTATGAAAAGAGACAATTAATGATTCCTAATAAATCATTTTCAAAACCATATAATCGTTCGATGAATGATGCAGTTTTTAAGCTTTTGAAACGATAAAAATCCGGTTCTTTCGAAAAATCGTTATCACGAAGGCTTTCCATCTCATCTGTCTTAGTAAATCCTCAGTTTTCTGAACTAGTTTTTCAAAATAATCCCGTTTCTTTGTATTGGGGATATTCTTAAAAGAGACTTCAAAATTGTTTTTTCCATGTTAATGTAAACAAAAATAAATGTAGAATGCGCTCTACCGTGAAGGGAGCGAAATATATCTTTTTTAAAAAGTAAATGCTACAAAGAGCGGAATTTTACTTCGTCTATTCTTTCCTCATTTATATATATATATATATATATATATATATATATATATATATATATATATATACATTACTCAAACTCTATTTTTAAGTAATAAGAATAAATTAATTCCTTAGAAAATATATCTTACTTATTAGAAAAAACGCAGATTGTGTGTGTGTGTGTGTGTGTGTGTGTGTGTGTGTGTGTGTGTGTGTGTGTGTGTGTTTATATATTGAATCGGATTTCCTACATTTTCAACCGATTTCAACAAAACTTCACAGGACTACATAAAATTACCTTGTGGTGGTTCTAACAGTGCCAAAAATGGGAAAAAATATAATTGTTTTTGCACAAAATCAATTTGAAAACACGATTAAGAGACATCGTGAAAATGGAAGGGGACAACTCACATGGGGTTGTTTGTGTGTGGGTTCCTTTAAATATGGGAGCGGATTTCCTATATTTTTCAGCCGATAAAACAAAACTTCTTTTTTTTTTTTTTTTTTTGGCAGGTAGTGTTTCTTATTCTCTTGCACACTTTTTTTCTTTTTTATTTTAACATTCAGAATGCTTTAAAAATTCCATTTACAAGACAATTATTTATAATAAAATTCTATTCAATCGGGAGACTCATAACGATTGAAAACAATGTTTTTTTGTGTTTGGGTTTGACTATTTCGTAAAAAAAAAAAAAAAAAAACTAATTAAGACATGCGTGTCCGTCAACCTTAAACAATAATCTAACGATCTCTACTGATTGTATGAATACAAACATCGGAATAAATTCTTTATCTTTAGGAAAGATAATGAAATCTAAACATACACAAGTCCTAACTAAAAATAATAACCGGAACGGGAAACTACTTTAAAACACATGGTGTCCAATTTTTTTACTGTATTCAATAAGTAAAAATCATAAATTGAAAAAAAAAGATTATTATTACAGAAAGGCTACTAAATGAATAAGATTTGTTTGATCATAATTAATAAACCCAAATAAAGTTAATATTTTTTGTATTAGAAACAACGAGTGGAAAATATATTCAAATCAGAATTCTAATTATGAATCACCACAAGCAAAATATGCAATTTTTTTTACTGTATTCAATAAGTAAAATCATAAATTGTAAAACTAAAAGATTACAGAAAGGCTACCTACATTTTTCAACCGATTTCAACAAAACTTCACTTTTTTTTTTTTTTTTGGTATGTAGTGTTTCTTATTGTCTTGCACACTTTTTTCTTTATTTTTACATTCAGAATGCTTTAAAAATTCCATTTACAAGACAATTGTTTATAATAAAATTCTATTCAATCGGTAGAGACTCATAACGATTGAAAACAATGTTTTTGTTTGAGTTTGGGTTTGACCAATTCGTAAAAAAAAAAAAAAATTATTAAGACATGCATGTCCGTCAATCTTAAACAATAATCTTTGTCAATTTTATTTTTCAGTCTTTATGATGGTGGATACTTGATATATCTCTTACTCGGGCAACGCCGGGCTCTACTGCTAGTATATTATAATTATAATAATATAATTATTATAATATATATATACATATATGTTATACATATATAGTCCGCCTGAAGTTAATATGCAAATCACATAAACCTCAATAACTTGAATTTGCTTTGAGTTATTTTTATCAAAAAAAAAAAAAACAGAAGTTGACCTAAATTTTTAGGTAGCTTCAACATGCTTAATTAAATTTAATCGACTTATTATAAAAACTGCAGTCTGAAGTTATTATGTAGGCAAAACTAGAAAATCACTTTTTACTTCAATAAGAAGTTAATAAAATCACAAAACAAATAACAAACATATATGATAAGTTTTTGAAGTATCTACCTCTTAATATAGTAACACTTGTCAAATATTAATAAAACATGTTGAAGCTACCTAAAAATTTAACTCAATTTTTGTTTTGACGTCTAAATTAATCGTTTAAAATTTGACAAAAATGTTTCAAAGCAAATTCGAGATTATGGACCAGATTATTTATCTCGAGTTCCTTGATAAAATCCAAAGAAGACTCAGCAATATTATTGGTGTCGCGGTTTCTTTCCTTCCGCTATAAGGTTGCCTCCCTGGACCTTTTCTATAAATACTTTCATGATAATTGTTCAGATGAGCTCTTCGTTATAGTACCTAAACTTTTTTAAATTTAAGCGCAGTACTAGACTGGTGACGAAGTCTCATCAATTTAGAATTGAATTGACTAGATGTAACCGTAAGTTCTATGCTAATAGTTTCTTTTCACGCACTTCGTGCTTTTGGAAATCTCTTCCGGTTCCATACTTTCGAGTTAACTTTGATCTTCAAAAATCTAAATGCAATGTCAATCATTATCTACTGCCATCTTGAGTACTCTTCTATTGTTCTCTCTGCTTAGTAATGTTTCTCTTTTTTTTCTTATTCTTTCATACCCAATAACCCCCTTGTGTCTTAGTGGCTTTATTGCCTTGTATGGGTTGACATGATTAAAAAAATACTGCCAATATGTGTAGATCACAATTTTGGAATAGAAATTGTCATCAAGAGTCTAGACTAGAAACAATACTTACGAATAATAAAACATTGATTAATATATGGAAATAGTCTGAGTTTTGACAATCCCTTATTCAAAATGAAGAGAACAGAATAAAATTGTAAACAGGTTGTTCGATAAAATTGACGTCGAAGATTTTAAAAATAATGTCTTACTTAATAAGTTGAATGAACTTATTGTTACTCGAAATTAGTCGAAATCCGCATGGGTATTTATAACTGTCACATTCTTTTCGCTTTACTAATATGATAATTATTTACGAACGTTAATGATTTCGATAGTAATGAGTTAGAAAATCAACCCAAGAATTAGTTCAACTCACCAATCGCTGCACCAACAGTTATACGACCAAGTAGTAAGATCTCCTTGCTCTGAGAAAATGCCATGATGAAAGCACCAATTGTAAATATTGCACAGGATAACAAAATGGTACGCACCCGGCCAAAATAATCAGCCAGGGCTCCGGCTGTTAAACAGGAAAGGGCAGCCATGCCAATTGTACCAGAGACAACCAATTCTATCCAAAGTGAAGAGAGGCTGAAATATGTCCGCAGGGACAACATGGCTCCAGATATAATTCCAGTATCATATCCAAAAAGAAGTCCACTTATTGTTGTACAACTAGTCAACAGATACAAGAAACAATTTGCTTTATTATTTCGTGACTTGTTTAAGATAGGTAAACTGTCGTCCATGATGTTGGGTACAATTATTAACAATAGGATTTAACTTTTATAGGCTCGATTATAGTGGTCACTGTCACAGCTGTTTCTGAAAAAACATTAAATAGCTTTGTGTTAGGAGTTATTTTTATTATAAATTCGTATAGATTTTTTATGCAAGAAGTGGGTCAACAAACAACTGCTTTTGAGTCGTGTTTTTCCATCCGTGGAGAGTATGTTTTTTATCTATATAATTCGTATGAAATAACAACCCACTCATATGAAGATGTTTTAGAGTAAAATTATTTATTAATACGCGTACACTTATAATTAGTATAGGTGTGTCGCGGCCGCCATTAGCCGAAAGCTTAGAAAGACGACCTTGACCTTCACAACCTTCTTGCAGATTTAAGTCCAGCAGCAGGCGAGAAACTGGACGACTGACCAATATGGTGGACTCCAAAACCGTACCTCATGAACATCGGATTAGGCAGCGCTTTCCAAACATCGAACAACATGGGGACTAATTTTATATCTACGGCTTGCTACTCCCTCTAGCCAGGGAGTATTTGAACAAATCGCTCCACATATTGTTAGCCCCCTTTTTTCGTCCAAATCCGAGCTGCTCGGCCTGGGGACCTGGATCAAAGTGTAGTACGCTCCCTTTGTGAGCTTCCGTTGCTTTTTCGAGTGAATACTCTTCGGCGCAATCCCGTCTTCGCGGTTAATCCGCCCTTGGAAGTCGTATCACTATTCTGACTCGGCCCTGTTTAGGGACTCTGCCTTCGTCAAGTGCTACACTTCGGCACGATCCCACCTAGGTGATTAATCCCCCCTGGAAGTTGTATCACTATACTGACTCGGCTCTGTTTAGACGCTTCCAAAACAAGCTAGTTAACCCCTACTAGGAAATGCACTATTCCTGTTATAATTTTCACCATCACAATCTTACAAAATATATAACAAGCATTCATTGCTCAATCACCTTCAATCTAGCTTGCTGATTGGTCAGTTCCGACCAATCAAACCGCCTGCACGCGACAAATTTGTTTTACCGCGTTTTCCATCTGTTCCAGTCACGTGATTCACGATGATATATAAACAGAACACGTGTAAACTCCCTCGAGCTTCTTTTCATTCATCTCTCTCTCGCGTTTCATTTACCAAGCTGTAATCTTCAAGAACTCCCGTCTTGACTGATGCAGTCAGACGTTAAAGACCATTACCAACATTCACGCAAGTACGAACTCTGAAATCTCTTCTGAACTTTTACCAACTTATACAATACACAATACCAAACATGCTAAAGAAACATTATTCTAAACTACAGTTTAATAATTACTTTCACTTTATGAACTTAGTTACAAATATTACCTAATCTAAAAGACACAACTCTGTCTAACTTTTCAGTTCACATGCATGTATATCAAATATTAATAAATTCAATTGTTACGTTTTGAAACAAACGTTTATGAATTTTTTATTCTCTATCTTGTATTAATTATTTTGCATTGGATGGAAGATTATTGAACACACAAAATTTTAAGCCTTCTGATAATTCAAACCTTCTATTCCTCTCCAACACATAATCAATCAACAAATAAGGGACTCGTCCTAACCAATATACAAAAACGAATCTTAATGCGACATCGATTAACCTGCCATTTTGTTAAAAAAGAAATTCTGTAAAATTCGGCAGTTGACCAGCTACACCTGATCACCAACTCTACATTCAAAAACAAGATGATACGACCGAAATCAACTACCACTGGAAAAAATTTATTCTCATATGGACTTATCACAGATAAAAACATATTTCTCCAGAATACATCCTTGTTACATAAGATAAACAAAATCGACGTTATTATTTCTTAAACCGTCGTCCTTTGTTAAACATTGATGTTAATATACAACTTTCCTTGTGTAATTTTTGCCGGGGCGACATCCTTAGGTGGCGTTGCAACAATCAATATAATTTAAAGACTCATTCATCCTTTTAATTGCATGTCCCATGATTTACACACACAAGGTCGGTTATGTGGGGTCACTCTTTATCATCCCAGGGGGGAAGCCTCGTGTTCACAGGAATAAGAACCGAAAGGAAATAACATTAGGCGTGTTAAATTTTAAAATAAATATATAATTATTATATATATATATTGTACTGGAGTGTGTGTATATGTGTGTGTGAAAAAATTAGTTATATTTTTTTAAATTCCATTTAATAGAAGACAAATACTTCGTCTTATGACAAGTAAAGGTTCCTGAGGAAATGAAATCATAAAATGTCTTGAACCTTTGAGGGTGAATTCAATCCAAACGAGAAAATAAATGAGTTCCCTTTTTTTTTATTATGAAGAATCCGTTTTCGGGAGATGAAAAAAAGTTTTTTCTGTTGAAATAACTGGGAGAACTTTTATATTTATTTTGGTTTTATTTCCCATAAAGTTTTAATTTTTTTTTATTTTTATTTATGATATTTATTATTATTATTTTATATTTTTATTTATTAACAATAATGTTCTTACAGTTGTACCGTTTGTCTGGTATGAAAGGCTGCGTCATTTGGGCGCCATATCCTATCATAGTATTTGAACAATTCTCACTTTACCAACCTTTCAAATCGGCATCCAACAGGAAAGAGAATGACTCACAATTGGAAATGAATCTTGAACTAAAGGGCTTTTTTTAAATTGGCTAATTTTAGCCAATTAACATCTTTGTTCCTTGTCTGGGATGACGACGAAATCATAAATTGTCGTTTGGCTGTTTGCTTTTTTTCTCTTCCTCTTCCTTTGGATATCTTTTTATTCATTTTTCTTATAAATTTTATTTATGAATCTTTACTTCTTTAACGTATTACTTAAAACAATTATTATATTATCGCATTTACTATTATCCTATTATAATTGTGCTTTTCCAAACCTTGCTTTAGTTTAACGACCGTTACGGTCCATTTTCCCTCAAGTAATGGACTATTCCGTTTTATATTCAAAAAGAACATAAAAACACTACTTGGCTTCAGTGAGAAAATGAATAAAAGATAGCAGTGGAGAGATAGAATCTGATTAAGCTCATAAGAACGGATACTACTCTTTGATCTTAGCCAAAAGACCGACAAGCAATTGTATTTTCTCGCTGCCCCACACAGCAGGATGTGACACAAGATCAGTTTAATGTGGGGAACCAGAGCGCGTACAGTGGGCCAGGTAAAAAAATTTTAAGCTTCCTCAACTATTGAACAATTTTCAGAAATCGTTATTATTTATAACACTGAACTCTGAACTAAGAAAATTTTTTTAAAACGTTTCCTGCAGTCAATAAACTGCTATGTTTTTATCAGTCTTTCTTTCACGCATATACAAGTGCTTGATTATTCCTCAAAGATGAATATATAATACTTTAAGCAAAAACAAAATTGGTTCTATTGTTTCTCATTGAGGATTTTTCGATTGAACATGAGTTACGACGAAGGATTTTGGAGAAAATAGAAACAAAAAGCCGCATTTATATATTTAACATCAAGAAGAGACAGTTGACCATTTCGAAATGTTTAATCGTCTATGTCGTTTTTTTTTTTTTTTAGTAAAATCTTGATACTCACGGGACAGAGGAAGACAACGTATGACATATTTCATGAGATTGAATAAATGGATGAAGGAACAGGGCTTGAGAAAAAATTGCAGAAGGACAAAATTGTGAAGGATCCAGAGCTGTAGAACTGCTTGGAATTGTGGAAAGGTATGGTCGCCTACGATCCTGCTTGGGATACGGCTGCGTGAAATGGTTATTCTTAACATTCAAAAGAAAAACATCTCTAATTCTTAGTGTTATGTAAGAACCAATTTGTTTCAACGAATGGTTTATATATATTAAAATCACATTCAAATCGCACAAAATACTTTTCCTTCCAATTATGGATTAAATAACAGGGAAGACTTAGGCTAATGTTTTAAACAAAGTTTTTCTGGGTATAAAGTTCACAGTTTTGAATTTAAACAGTTAGAAGCTCTTTAGCCTTGGATGGCAATCTATTTAGACTCAATAAAACACACATTAGGCAGCAGCCTATGTAGTTTCATCGGCAATGACTGAAATTCTCAAGTCACGTGAGTTGCATAATCTGCTGCAGACAGAAATAGTGTCATCTTTTTAAAGAATAAATTCAAAGTATAAAGGACAGGGATTCGTTTTAAAATCTATTCCAAAATTTAAGAAAGGTGAAATTTTACTTTAAAATAAAAATGTCCCCAAAATCTGAGCGGGATATTTTTTTAGGTATAAAATATACTTATCATGATGAAAAATGGACCAATCAGTGATTATATAAAAAAAAGGGTTTACTTGCAAATGTAGGCCACACATGGTGAAACACACTAAACAAGTCTATTATTTTCCCATTTTGGAAATTACCAAATCAGTTTCAATGAATTCTTTTTTTCTGCAGAGAAACATACCACATGACAGAGGAAAAATAATAATCCAATCAAATCATTCTATTTGGATGTTGAAAAGACCTAAGTCTTGAGTCTCTTAAAAAGAAATATAAACAGCAGTTGACAATAAACCATAGTGTAATGTTTAGCAAGCTTTTCAACAAATTTCATTTTAACTGAATAGAGTTAGATCAAAATGGATGTTTTCAAACATTAGCCCCTTCCACCATCTAAGATACAAAGTTCAACAAGCTCTCGGGTTGTGGCTGTAGATGAAAAGATATTTATCTCTCCTGTATGGACAAAGGAAATTAACATCAAGGAGCAGAAGGACTTTTTTTTAAATCAATCTCTGATAAGAACATTCATTTCGCACAAAACTTTTCTTCGTCAACCAAATATTGCACCAACTTAATTTCTTTCGTTGTATCTCAATTGTTTTGTTTGAACCATAAATGAAAAAAAATGTCATTGTTATTTTCTTAATCCATGTATATATTGCATTGATTTAGTTTGAAATGGTAAACATTTTTACCGAATTTTGTTAGGGTGTAGATTACCCGACTTGGTTCTGCCAAAAGCGCTCGCTACAATGCGATCTTTAAGCCTATAAATAGGCAATGAAATTGTCACTCAAACTCTTTGGCCTTTTTAAAGCTAACCTTAGGATGTAGTCGTACATGGGTAAAGTGTCCCCCACTAGGGCACGTTCACGTTTATGGTCCTCTCTCACGACTTTTGTACTCTCTCACATATGAATATACACACACACAAACTTATAACTCGTTAATGTTTTTCCTTTTGTAACAACTTATCGTCTGCTCTACATTCACTGTTTTTCATCACTCACAACATATGATGACCCTGATGTGATATTTTCTCCTGGTTACAAAGACGCAAAACTATAAATGGTTTTCAATTAATGCTTGATTTTTAGAAACTGTTCAAAAACCGAGACTCCTCTCCAAAAAATCCAGTGTAAAGAGCACACTCTAGTAGCAAGCACTTTTGGTAAAGCCAAGTGGGGTAACCCACAAGGGGACATGCGGTTAATTTGAAACGGTTTTCCAACTAATTATCAACTGCTGACATTTTATTATAAACATTGGCTAGTTGGACGCCAAAATATTTTTTAACTTACTATTTTTAGGGATTCTGATAAATGTCGTTGCTTCCAATTTCGTAATGATTTGTTAATTCTGGAATTTTTTTTTAGAATTATTTTAAGACTGGGTCTAGTCCATTTGAACAAGAGATTCAATTTTATAAAAACAATTTTATTTGGAATTTTAAGGCAAGACAAGTTCATTGTCTCGATTGTACGTCTATCATCTGGTATGTTTTGCAAGAAGAATTTTTAATGAACAAAAATGTTAGTCCATTGGACTTTTCAAAATTGATTTCATTGAATTCGTTATGTTTCAGGTAGTTGTCTTATACCACTTGACTAAAGATGAAAAATAACAAATCAATCTTGAAACATATATGTGTGGCACCTTGCATTATTAGAAATATTCATAGAAATATGATTTAATTTTTTCTTACTCGGTTACTAAACAGGTTGTTTTTTTTTTTAAAACGGAAAATAACTGAGTTGAAAATAATTCACTAAGATTGTACTAGACGATCTTAAGGGAAGAAGAAGGAAAGAAAAAAAAAAAAGAAAAAAAAGAAGAAGAGAAAAGAGTTGTATGATGCATGACCCAATTGAGGGTGGAGATAGGAGTCAGAAAGAGATTTAGGTCAGCGTCTTGGCCGATTTTCGAAAGACAATTGGAAGAATAGAATTATAAATAATAAGAAGAAAGAAAAAAAAAGACATGATATCAAAACGGGCCGCTTGATGGAGACCAGATATCGGTCAAAGCATCTGACCGACTTTTTTGCATGGAAAGACACCTTATCAATTTGGATAAAGAAAATTTTAGAACAATGAAACAATTTTAATCAGAGAAAAAGTGTGTCTTTGGGTTGAGGGGAGTGACCGGTGGAACGATATACAGATCTGACCTGTTAAGAATTGGACACCCACGTTAATAAAGTGGAGACATTTCAATGTAGATAATTAAGATTTTCGACTATCAGGAAAAACAAAGAGGTAAAAAGAGGGACAATTGCTTTTGGCTCACAGAGGGCGCCAAGAAGGCGGAAAAGATCCTTTCTAAAGTCAAGACTAATTAGCGGCGGGCTGTTTGACAAAGTCCAGGTGAGAGAAAGCCAAAGATTGTCATTTTGCGTACGTGCAAAAAAAAAGGAAAAATTGGATTTTGTTTTTTTTAAAACAAGAACGATGTAACCACGCCCGCAAACAGAGGGGAGAGGATGTTCGATCAATAACAATTGGTCGAATACGATCACGTGACCTGCGGAAGAAAAGGGAAGAAATGTTCGATCAATAACAATTGGTCGAAGACGGTCACGTGATCTGCGGAAGAAAAGGAAAAGAAATGCTCGATCAGGAACCATTGGTTGAAAAGCGGTCACCTGACATACGAGAGACTAAGAGATGGATATGCGCCGCCCCACCAAAGGTACTGCGAGGAAGTAGGGGTGAAAACAATAGCGATAATGGAGAAGACAGAATTAATGCAGCTTTTGGAATTATCGAGAAAACCCTGACGCCGACAGACCCACCCCGGTTTGTTGCGGCGTCAATATAAGCAGGACCCCAGTCGACAGAAATCGTTGGAGTTGGAGTTGGAGTTGCAGTTGGACCGCGGGCAGGGATAGAGCCTGAACGCGGGCATCAGGCCCGATTCACTCGCCCCTTTGCGGGCAAAAGAACCCTCAGACAAGAAAAGAACTTCCAGCCCAAGATGAAGAAGATGATTTCCTGAAAGACGAGAAGAATTGAGAAGAGATCACCTCGGACGACAGAGAGTTTGCGGCTGAGTTGCGGCAAGAAGATCCTTCCAGCCCAAGTAGATCGAAGATTGCCTGAAAGCCTGAGAAGAAAGAGAACTTCCAGAAGTTAAGTCGACGAAGAAGAAGAACCACCTCAGACGACAACCCAAGTCGAAACAAGAAATCTTCCACCAAGTTGAAACAGAAAACTTCCAGCCTAAGCAGACGAAGAAGAAGAAATACAACTCAAGTCGGAGAGAAGAATCAACTGCGAATGATCGATAGAAATTAGCCCCAGTGTCGAACCAAACCACACTCCGACATACATACAATTCTAAAAAGTAGGCAATTCGAAATTTTTCTATTGTGTGATAGAAGCTTGGTGCCATAGTCCACAGAGCGGGTCGGGAAATGAGAACAATTTTTTTTTTTATGTAACGGACTTTAAGATATAAAAGGTTGTTACCCATTTTTTTATCAGCAATTTTTTTGTGTCGTGAGTTTTTTTTTTTTATTTGTGTTTTGCCACCCCCCGTCGGACTCAACTTGTATCGGCCCCAATCCCTGCTGGTCCCGTCTGTCTAAGATCTAAACACAGCGTGGGTAGACAGACCGGAGATCGGTATAGTTGCTTTAGTGACCAGGTATTGGAAGCGAGTCGGGAAAGGCGAGGCTGGTGATCATCTGACCAAAGGGTTGGAGCGGCACGCTTGGACCCAGGAGGAGCGACCAGGAGGAGCGACGTCACCGTTGGCGCCGTAACCAAAGGATCCGACACTGGGCCAGGTGTGTAACCGTCACATATGGAATGAAAGCATCTGTTCTATCTAATGGAAAGTTTTCAGAAACCTTTGATGCAACAAATGGCACAAAACAAGGTCATGCTACACCATGCTTTTTGTGATCTTCACATGGGTGTGAAATTTAAATTGCGCACAAGTGGCGGCCTCTTTAACCATCAACGTTTTAAATCAAAATTGCTGACTGGAACAAGCATTATTCGTAATCTTTTATTTGCTGATGACGTTGCAATCGTGGCCACCTCAGTCGAAGAAGCTCAAGCACACGTCAATCGTTTTTCCACTGCTTGAAACTCGTTCGGATTAACAAAAGAAAAAAGAAAGCAGGTCAGAAGAAAGAAAACTGAAGCAGGTCAGAAAATGAGGGTGATTCAACTGTGGAATCCATGGCGTTCTGGCAGCGAATGTCTGAACTAATGTATGGAGCTCATGTGAACATTTGCCACAGAAATAGCAATAGAGTAGTGATGGGATTGCAATGTTGCGTTTGTGGAAAAGAGGTTGCAAAGTAGAAAATAATCCATTGTCTACATAAACAAGTTTTAAAATCCATTAAGGTTGGAAAATGACAATTGAGCAAATCTAGGCCAAATAGATTCTGCAAGAAAACCAATCTTGATAGGTGTAGAGAGAGAGAGAGAAAAAAAAAATATCAGTAACCACTGAAATACTGATTATGGAGAAATAAGTCTGGCAATTTTAGTTAATTCCCTTTAAAAACTTGAGAGTTCAATACCTGGCCATTAGAGGGAACAAAAACGTGGAAAGTTTAGTTACTAAAGGGAATTAATTGATACTGGACTATCCCAAAAATGAATGACAGGTGGAATTAAAGCAATCTACCCACCTTGGGCAAAATAATGGGTTCAGTTCAAAATTTCACCTATCACCTAAAGAAAAATGTCATGAATATGGCAATAAAGATGAGGACAACAGTGTCTGAATGGTTAAAAAACAGTAAAATAAAAAAATAAAATTACACACACACACATATATACATCAAGAGACTGAATTGGCAACTCCTTGTATTTGTGTTATTAACTAATGATTGTTATTTCCAAACCAACAGACATATGGCAGCCTACAATACAATCAGTTTAGTGTTGTATTTTTATCATATTGCTTGTTGAGTGTCATTTAGCCAAGTCTGTACTGCAGAGTATCTGATTAGAACCAAAATAGCAACACCCATGAGAAACCACTGCCATTTCCTACTTTTTCCTCCTAAGATGGACCTTTACAGCAAGGCAACAATGCAGCAGTGAGTATTAAATAAAGCCATCAATGAATTAATTTGCTAAGATGAAAGAAATAAAAATAAAAAAAAAAAACAGAATTTTAAGAATTTTCAACCTTTTATTTTGAATTTTTGTTTTCTAACAAAAAAAAAGAAAAGAAAAAAAATGAAAATGGAGAAAAAAAAAAAAAAAACCCCTCAAAGTTGAGGATGCCAGTAAAGATCAAAGGCTAATGTTTTCTTAATGGCACACAGCACAGTAGGCACATACCAATTGCAACCAGTTGTGTGCACTTGTATATTTCCGCTATTTATAAACGAAAACAACTGCTTATAAAGCAGCAGCACCAGAGATGATCTCAATAAGTTCTTTGGTGATTACGGCTTGTCTGGTCCTGTTGTAAGTCAGAGTCAGCTTGTCGATCATCTCACCTGAAAAAGAAACAAAAATTGAAATGAATGGAACTTATTAAAACAGCAACAAATTTTACTTACAGATTATTCGAAATTACATGCAGATAAACAGCTTCAGATATTTTTAATTTGCATGAGGGGGTATCAGTTGCATTGAGATTTCTGGAAGTGGAGGGAATGATTGAGTGATTGTATTTAATGCCCTCCTCAAGCTCTTGCAGGTCATTTAGATCCTAAGTTCTGGAATTAGAATTGTGGAGAAAGGCAGGGGAGTGAAAACTATTGAATATCTTTCTCCCTAGTTCTATGCACAATCTATTCATATTCTTTCATTAAATTTTTATGAAACAAAAATATCATTAATAGGTGATGGATATCAAACAACATGCAGTAATAAAAAAAATTACACTGTTTTGTTTAGAACATTAAAAACAGGCAAAAATAAATGGCTCCTGGGACCTTCATCCCCCATGGCCAGATTAACCATGTTATTCTTTCAGTTCCTCTTTACTTTTTCTAATTTCAGAGTTTCAGGCAGTGACATTAGAAGTATAGAGTTGAAGGAACTGGAAATCCAATCCTAAACAGGAAACAAGGGATAAACAGCTACTTCTATTCAAAAGACGGAGGAGGAATGTGAACTGGGTAATAGGCAAACCTATCTACTCCTATTGCCTTAATGGCAATTTCTTTATTTTGCTATTAATCACAGTCAGATAGGAGGCAAAATTTTTGTCAAAATCATTATGTTCCATGTACAACTAACAAGAACAGGATGGGTGGCTTTTAAGCACAAAGGGTGGAGAAAAACAAAGTCTAATTTTAAAGGAATGCAGGTAGGCTTTTTATAAACAAACCATTTCAACATTTATAAAATTCACAAGACTTGCATATAACACAACAATGTAGTACACATTTGCCTTGTACAGGTCAAGAAATGACAAGCATTTTTCAGCAGTGACTTTTTTTTTCTTCTCATGAGAACCAGTTTCAATGAATGGAGAACCCAGAAAATATTTTGAGCAGATAAATTCTGCTTAAGAGAAAAGAAAAATCCAATCTCCATCAAAAACCATAGACTCACAAAACCCAGAAAGTGAGGTGGGTCAGGGCTCAATGGATGACAGATGGAAAAAGGACTAATGCTTTTTTTTGTAATCAGATAATATGCACACACACACAGTTGTGCCCATCTTTGTCTTGTTATCACAAAGTCTCAGCCATTGTACTCTCCAACCTTCATCAGGTGATTGCCTATCCAGGTAACCTTCAAAGAATTTCTAATTGAATCCTTTATTTAATCTACAGGAGTAGATTATTTTCATTCCATTGCCCAAATACAAGAATAAGAACTAAGAGATATCTGAAAATTTGAAGTAATACCTTAACACAAGTGTAATCCTTTTCGAAATAAGTAAGTTTTTTTTTTTTTATTATTCATACTTGCTTGTTTCTTGTATTTATTTCAAAATATAAAAATAGCAGAAAATTAGTATGCATCTATTTATTTACCATCAAGTCATGTGACATATATAACCTCTTGTAATGTAGTGAATTATATAATGTTGTGTTATGCATATTTAAATTTAATTAAGATTGTTGTAATGTATTGTGAATGTTTATCATTTTTCAGACACATGACAGTTACAATGTAATATGCAAGTATTTGTTTTTTATATATATATATATATATATATATATATATATATATATAGATAGATAGATAGATAGAGAGAGAGATAACATTGTGCATTGAAAACAAATACTGAATTTCTTATTAAGAATGCCCTAAAAGACAGAAAAACAGCCCTAACTCAAGAACTTCTTTAATTCTAATGAAATTTGGCACTATACTTGACAGGAGTTCAACGTATAATACACTCCTAAATTGGTTGGTGTATTATATATTGTTTAAGCTGTATCTCAGGAATACACATACATATAAGATTAGTTCATATATATATATATATATATATATATATATATATATATATATATATTATATATGAATTATAGTTTTAAATATTCGTAATGAGTAATTGAATGACAAAATGGAAGAAAAATGGTATGTTGTAGGTTTTACCCTTCAAAAGGACTTCAAACTAAATATCACTAATGGAATTGTATATATGATTTATACATATAAATAACAATAAATGTCAGTAAAATTTTACATTGCTTATTATATTTTGCCCCTCCCACAATTCCTCTGATAAAAAACACAAATTCTTTCAAGACTGATATATAAAGCTTGTATCCCATAATTTCTAGTGTAAGTCATGTAACTTTTCTTTTGACTTATTTCTTAAACTGTTAAAGAAAAACAGAAGTTTGGGGTCCTTATATTCTTAAACTTGTTGCTGTGGAGACAAATATTTTTTTTCTTTTTTTAGTTGAGTATATCAAGACAGACTACAGAAATGGATTCCTCCACTTACTTGCGTTTTTACTTGCAGCATCCATGGCTGTCATCCTGGAACTTTGCTCACTGCAGGCCGATTCCTTCAGAGCAAAATAAATTTGGCTGACCAGAGCAAATTCATTAAAAGAAGTCAACACATCATCATCAATGCTGTCATATAAAGGAAGTTTTTCAGCCTGACTAACAGTATCCAAGGAGTAAATCGGCATCTCCGTGGTTTTGTAAGAGACAACACTCCTGGGAAAAAAAAAAAAAAAAAAAAAAAAGGTAAGACACAAAATTGATATTTTAGAAATAAAAATTTTAAGCTCTCAGATATTTAACAAAAAAATTTAGCTTAAAATTTTCCTATGGTTTAAAGTTTGGTTAATTTGTCTAGTAGCTGACATGGAATGCCCTAACCTCCAATCCCTAAAAGTATTAGAACTTTTGTTAAAGTCTTTATTCATTTTTTTTTTTTCCCTTCCTTTTCTAAGATCTAAAAAACCATTAATAAATTATCAAGTCTGCCCGTTGGCAATGGAATTTATATGTATTGTCATTGTTTAACCCAAACAGATATGGGAAAAGGCTTTGGTGACAATAGCTATTACCCACATTTTTCCTTGTTCTGTAATCAGTAAAACAGAAATTTGTTAGCAAGATAAATGTCAATTTGCTTTTCAAATGTTACAGCAAATTGAAATTGAGAGTTTTTAATATACAACAAATTAAAACTTAAAATTAACAGTAAAATTTAAGGCCAGAATTTTATAATGGCATTCATCATCATCATCATTCCCATAGCCAATGTGTGGTCATAGGGTCATCACCATGCAGCTGAAAACCTGACCAGCTCCCTCCATATGTTACAGTTGCATGCAAGGTCTTTTTCCTATGCCGGTTTCTTTTTTAGTTAAGGTAGAACCTTGCAGGATGGCAGTGGAAATGCTGTTGGCTGTCATGATGTGTTTATACCATGTTAAGTTTCTCATAACTTGTCTAGAGATCATGTAAATTTATAAAATCAAACTTTAGATGCTAATTCTATTTCTTTTTTGTTCTTGATGAACACCATCAGTATAAAGTAGGTCACTTGTAAACAATGTCTGTGCTGAATGTATGGAAAAAGAAATAAGGGTTTTACTTACCTAAAGACATTATAGTAGACACTGCCACAATCAAACTTGTAGCCAGAGTCAAAGATATAACTTGCAACAAGTGAAGCATCAGCAAATGTAGGAGGCTTCTTTCCAACTTCATTAAATGTCATCATGATTTTTTCAGGCACAACTCTGGAAAAAACAAAAAAAATATCTCCAGATATGGGATAAGAACAAATAGAGTATAATTTCACTGCAACATTTAATTTTTTAAAAAAGAGCTCAATACAGAGTATAGCTTAATATTTATTATATGAGATTAAAACAAAAATGTTAAAAATCACTACACAATAGCTTTCATGTTTCAGCACTCAAAATATGCTTCCTCAGGCAATAGTAAATAATTGGTAAGTAAAAAATCTTTAAAATTTCAAAAGGAGATAACAACAAAAAAATTAAAATGGGGCTTGTGAGTTTACCCCGATTAAACAATTAGGTGTCAGACCTACACTAAAAAAAGGGGGAATTTTGATCATGGTAAAATGTAATTTGAAATATAATCCTAGACAATGTTATGAGTGGCAGACAAGAAGTTAGTACAAACTATGTGGGTAGCAACGATGTATCATAATTATGAAACAAAAGTAACTTGTTCAATTCTATAAGAAGTTAAGAGGAGGGGTAGGAAGACAATCAAATGTATAGCTAATTGTAACATATCTTTTTTATAATAAAAAGACTCCTTTAAGAAACCAGTAATACTCAACACAAAGGTCCACATCAAGTGCCTTGAGGAAGTAGTGCTGACCTGGGTCAAGAGGGTGGCTGCTGGAAGAACCTATGTCTGACAAAAGGACTCTGCACCATGCCGCACAAGCAGGAGAACCTAGTCAAAGCTGTCAGACAATTTCTGCAACTGCATTAACCCTTACATCTGGCCACCTAACCACCCAGACTGCAACCTTCTTGATTATTGTGTGTGGGGTGCAATTGAGTGAGAGACAAACAAAACTCCCTGTAACACCAAAGATGAATTGAAGATGGCAGCATTCACCAACTTAAACAAGGAGACTGTTCAGAAGAGTTGCAGGAGATTCCAAAGACAGCTGGAGGCCATGGCAGAAGCCAATAGTGACATTATTGAATACATTTACTCTTTAATATTTCAAGATATTTTTTGTGTAATTTTGGTAAATATATGTTAAAATGAGATATCAGTGTTATTTTCATTTTTGCGTAATTTAGACAATTTATCCATCATGCCTTATACATTCTCTTCAAAAATTTTAACCTTTCATAATTATAAAGGTTTTTATTAACTACTCAATAATCATTGCTGTTTTGTATGCTTAACTAGATGACCCTTTCATTTTGGATCCTCCACAGGAACTAGCATGACTTTTAAACTAGCTCCTGTGAATAGCCAAAAACTAAAGGCACCTCTGATCCAGCTTAGAAAACAGCAATGATAATTTTGAAGAAATAACTTTGAATTCCTCAATTCACTCCATGGAACTTGAAAACCTCACATCACAAAACCTCTAATTTTAACTCTGATTCCTTGGCATTTTGAAGAAATAAAATTGATTTTCACAATTCACAAAGTTTTTGTGTCATTTTAAACTTAATATAAATTAAAAAATTAAATGTTTTTTTTTAAATCATTAATTTTATCAGTTATTTTAAAATTTGAATTTTTAACTGCTCCCCACTCATCCAAACACAAATCCCAATGCTTGAGGCTCAAGCACCAGATGAAGGGCAGATTTTCAATTCCAGGATCACCTTGATTCCAAAAAGGTATAATATGTCTATGTAGAGCCAGTGTGGCTCCAGTTAGAGGGGCTTTACACACACAGAATTTGCAGTTTGTAGATAGATGGATTTCCCAAGTTAAACAGATTTCATAGAAGCATGTTGAAATGGAAAACAATTGGAAATGCAAATGTAATAATAATAATAATAATACATCATCATAATAACAGATCGTATGCAGTCAAGATTATAAAGCAATTGTGAACTCTTCTTGTCGATGACTATAGTATGTGCTACACCAGGGTTATATATGGTTTTAAATTAAGATTTTTCTTTCTCCTAGACTGGTAGCCAACCATGGCTAGAGAACCCAGTCTGTCTTGCTATTATATATGAGATTTTATTATTGTTATTTTTTTTTTTTTTTTACAGTATTGCTAGTCCAGAGGAGATCCTCTGCAATGCGTATGCCCAGAAACTTAATTTTATCCTCCTCTCTCCATAGCGATCATTAAAGGGACAGGAGTTGTGGCATTTCTCTGAAAGTCCACCACCAATCAATGCAGTTGAGAATATAGAGTCATTGTGAACTCCATGATCTTGTTGATGATTGCATAATTGCCAGGTCTACATGTGGTTTGGAATTCAAAGTTGTCTTTCTCCTAGACTGGTTGCCAACATGGGTTAGAGAGGCAAGTTTGACCTGGCATTTAATCTATAGCTTGGAAAGAAGCGGATTAATACCTTTCATCAATGGTATTTGTGTGGAAGTGAATGTAGCAAACATGGTTCATTAATTTCTTCTTCCGAGCCTGTAACCAAAGACCACCTGTAAATCTGTCCAAATGTCAACCGAGAAAAAATATTTTCCATTTATTTTCTAATAAGCCAAATTTTACTGACAGATAGAAGCTGAAAAGTTCTTGGCCTGGCCAATAAGGAATTTCCTGCCAAAATGTTTGATGTTTGGTCATGTGATTAGGTTGAGAACTTTTCAGTACACTCTCGTATTTCAAAACAATGAAACAAATCCTATTTTTGGCCATTACATTCACCTGACACCCATTATGATCATACAAATCTCATAATCAAGATTCTTTTAATATGACTAAAGTTTGATGGAAAGGATCCTCTGCCAACACACATTTATGGTTCCATTAATTCCTGGTACTTAAAAAAAGGTACAAAAGAGGGCAAGTTATTTTGATGCTAATATGCAACAAAATTTAAAAATGCTCTGATTTTTAAAATTGTTAAAACATACAGATCAGTGTTTGGAATTTATTAATAAATTTCATCAAGGAACAACTGTGAATTTTCATATTTCTCTGTGTGGGCCACCAGTGGCTATTAGTGGATTTGAGATAGAGTGTGTGTGTGGGTGTGTGTGTATTTCATTAAAGATGACAGACAAGGTACTGCGATTAAGCTTTTTATTTAATTTTTCTTGTGTTCAAACAAGTGTTTTCTTTTCTGGACCAAGAGTGTTTAGAAACTGTCCAAATGTTCTGTAATTTTTTTTTTTTGGCTATACTTTTAGCTATTATCAAGGATAATTTTATTTCTGCTTTTTAACTGGGTGTATGAGTTGTGTATATGTATCTAGAGTTTTATTTTCCTAACACAGCACATTGTGGTCGTGTTTGTAGTTAATATTATTGAGAGTTGGCGTGTTCTTTTTTATTATTAAAGCTTCCATTACTTTTAATATTTTTTTTTTTTTACATATGGATGAGAATGTTTGTATTTTCTACTAGTATGTTTTGGATGGAGTCTAGTAAGTTTGTGTGTGCTTTTAAATGGGTTCTAATGGAGCTGTTGTCAGGTAGGTTTAATGTAAGGCGACTGGATAGGAATATAGTAGTGTGACCGATGAGTAGACACTGTTTATGTATTAAACCATATATTTATTTTCGTCTACTGGCCTAAATATTAAAAAAATCTTATTAAAGAAAAAGTCTTTATTGCTTAAAGGCACTATTTGACCATGCCTGATTGGTTAAGTTTTCCGTAGCTCAGCTGGTTCGGAGCACATCGGATCTAATGACAGTTCCCTCTGCCCAGAATCCTGCTGGAGAGCACATATCTTTTTTTAATAAGACTGCTTGCATATTCTGGCCATTAGGTGAAAACAAATAAATATACTGTTCAAACATTACCACGCTAATATTTTTCTAGAATTGTTCACCCCTGCCACTGCATTTTTTTTTTTTTTTTGGAGGGTGCAAAAGACATGAACACCTAGTGTTTTAAAATTGTTAGAATTTTCCTTGTATTGTGTGTATAAATTTTATTTCTTGTATACTAATCACAGAATGGATGAGTAATATTTTGATGTAATGCATTATGTTTTGCATGCATGTTTTGATGTTGAAAAAAAAAAAAAAAAAAAAAAAATGAAACACAAAAGGAAAAAACAAATACATTTTAACAATTTAACATTCTTTAACTTTTATTACTCCCTGTGAAGTTCTGGGGTTTAATAAAAAGTAAAATGGCTAAGGCGGCTTTCATTCCATCAAAAAAAGTGACATGCTTCCATGTGTTTACATACGAGAAGACACCTGCATTTGTTTGGCCTTTCTTTTATTTGACTAGCATATCTATTTGTTTCACTGACAAAGTTATTATTTTGTCGTTTATAATAGATGAAATAATTCAACTTCAAAAAGGCTATCAGGTTCATCAATAGTCACCAGTAGCTTCCATAAAATTAGTCAGCAATGGATAATAGTAGCTGCAAGTGGTCATGTAGCAGTAATCATCGCTTTCCTTCATGTCACTAGTGTGGTTATCATCTTCAACCATTTCACCGTCAATATCCACCTGAGTAAAGCCTACAGAATCATCGTCAGAATCCGAATCAAAGAAAAACTCTTGAATAAGGCTTCTTGGATGTTGATGTGGTCATTTTTGTTTACAAAAATAAAAAAAAAAAAAAAAAAAAAAAAAAAATTAATGTAGGTTTAATTGATATTACACTTGTTAAGAATTCAAAATGGTGTTGGAAAATGGAAGTTTAGCCCTGTTCCAAAGCAGTAGTAGGTGATTTCCAGCTTAAAATACCACAAATAACAGTTGACAAGTGTTTGTTTATAGCAACCATCTTAAGCCGACAGAATGTGCCTAGAGTTGCAAAGGGAGAGAATTCTACAGCAACAATTTTTGCCTTCAGCGTGGTAAAGGTTAATAAATAAACGGAGCATCAACTCAGAGATCCAGTAAAATGTTTAAGTGCTAAAATCTGATTAATAAATAAGAAATCCATTCTTAAGAATATATATTATTAATTAAATAATACCAAAATCTACTACCCAGAGTTTTATGTGATAATCATCTGGCATAAAAATTCATTCCGCATGATGACTTACCAAATTAAACAGAGTAGCAGATTTTGGTATTATTGAATTATTATATTTAGGATGTCAATTTTTGCA